ATAGAGAGAAGGGGTCCGAGTAATGCTAACACAAATTCACCTTGCGTTTAGCAGTCTGTGACGGATACGCCGCCGTCGTCGAGGTTCTCATCGAATATGCATCCCGTGACGGTAACGCCGCCAAAGTGGAATGGCCTGACAACTTGCTATCCCAGCTCAGTGACCTGGGGAGGCACGATCACTTGCGAAGGCTCCTTGCGTTGGGCCTGAGTCCAGATCCCAAGGACTCCCACACCATGGAGCCGTACTTTCCGTCGCCACTCTCCGTAGCTCTATCCGGCCCTCACCTTGAAGCAACAAAAGTGCTTGTTGACGCCAAAGCTGACATTCTGGCGGTGGGGAAGAAAGGCGCTCGGCCCCTGACGGTAGCCTGTCTAGTCGGCGACCCTGAGATTGTCAGGCTTCTCATTGAAAAGGGCGCCGAAATCGAGGCGCAAGACGAGAACGGCGTGACAGCCCTGCAAGGCGCCACAGACTGGGGCCGGCTCAAAGCGGTCGAAGTCATGCTAGAACACGGGGCTGATCACTCCTATGGGCAGACCGACAACAAAGAGGCCAATTCGACAACTTGGAAACCCATCGTACAGGCCTCCCAGAATAATTACGCCAAAATTGTGGCCCTGCTCCTGTCCAAAGGGGCCGATGCCAACGCCAACGGACCCAGTGGCTGTGCGTTGTACCTCGCAGCCAGAGGAGGACATGTCGACGTTTGTAAGATGCTGCTTGAGAACGGGGCCGTAGCAAACGTGTCAACGACAGAATTTGCCTCGCCTCTCTCTGTTGCCGTTGAAACCGGCAAATTGGAACTCGTTCAGCTGCTGCTAGATCACGGGGCTGAGATTGAAGCTGTCTTCAAAGGCACCGGGGATGATGACACCAAAGACACGCCTTTGACCATCGCCGCAAGGCAAGGTTTGACAGATATTGTGGAGCTTTTGCTGGAACGCGGGGCTAATCCGAATCACTACGAGGGCGATCTCGACCCCCCGTTGTACTTAGCAAGCTGGCGTGGCCATGTGTTGATCGTCAAGATGTTGCTCGAGAAGGGTGCGGACCCGAACGCACAGCTGGACGGCCAGGATTGGACCGCCGTTCATGCTGCGTATGACAACCCAGAAACCATGCGGCTGCTGCTCGCAAAAGGGGGTGATCCAGATCGTGTGGCAGACTCGAGTACGGCCTTGCTCCTAGCAGTCAGGTGGGATAACTTGGGAACTCTGAAAGCGGTACTCGAGCGGTCCCCGCGACCGAATCTTGAGGCTGAGGATGACGAACATATGACGGCTCTATGCCGCGCGTGTCAGTCGTCATCAGATGATGCGCCAGAAATGATTCGAGCTCTCTTGGACGAAGGGGCGGACCCGAACCATGGCGCCGGTACGGACAACCTGCCACTGCACCACTGTCTGAAGCAAGAGGCATGCTTGCAGGCATTGCTGGAATCCCGACCCCAGCTGGATGCCAAAGACAGCCAAGGTGATACGGCATTGCATCTTATCCCATTGCTTGCAACAGGGAACGTTCTTCGAAAATTAGTCATGGGAGGGGCAGACATTGAAGCTGTCAACAACGGTGGGTTGACACCTCTCGCAAAGGCCGTGAAAAGTCCCTTCAACGACGTGTCGGTCTTGTACTTGATCAAGAAAGGGGCCCAGCCGAACTTGACAGCTCCAGGTTTCGAAGGAATTCTCCACGAGGCTGTCCGAAACTGCGACCTTCCAGTGCTCAAAGCGCTCGTGAAAGCTGGTGCAGATGTCAACGCGCTCAGCGGTGAAACAGGTTCATCCATACTGTATCTGATGGCACGCTACTTGAGTAGCAGCATGACAGGGACCCGGGAGACACTGGAGTATTTCGTGGAAGAGCTCGGGTTGCCGGTCAACATCTATGGTGGACCACTCGGGTGGCCATTGACGGCGGCGGCTCATAGGCCGGGCGTCGCCTTCGAGTACTTGCTGGAGCATGGGGCCAACACTGAAGTTGAGGATAGCATCGGTCGACGGCCAACACATGTGGCTGCAATAGGGCTAGATTTTGGGCCGGCATTGCGATCACTCATATCACGCGGTGCCTCGGTTTTGACGTCCGACAAGATGGGTTTGTTACCAGTGCACTACGCTGCTCACGGCGGGCACCCCGAGCAGCTTGCAGTCCTGCTCGATCAACCGGGCGTTTTGGTCAACGTGCCCGACACAGACGGATGGACCCCGCTTATGTGGGCTTGTACCAACAGACGGTTCCCAGTCGAAAGGATCAACCTCTTAATCGCCAAGGGCGCAGATATATGGGCACGAGGAGATGGCTGGGACCATCAGTGGTCCCCGCTGCGACTGGCGAGGTTCAACGGCCTTGACGCAGAGGTTCAAGCTCTGCTGCAGCCAGACAGCGCAGCCAAAGGTAGTAAAGGTAGTGAAGGTGTTGAGCCTGAACGAGTATGGGACGAAGAGTTTCACCAGATTGAGGAGGGCAATTGGTCACATGGCGAATGCTTTGCTTGCATGTCGGTGAGTCGTGCCCCGACATGGGACCAACCCTGACGGCCTTGGAGTCGTGAGCTGACGTGCGTTTGATTCTAGGACATGAGCGGAAAACGCTGGCGCTGCATATCGTGTCCCGTGGAATCTTTTGTTGAAATCTGCTTCAAATGTTATCGATACAAAGAGATGATCCACGGACAGCATGAATTCAAGGAAGAGGGATTCGAGTTTGAGCATGAGAGGTTGAAAAGTCTGGAAGCAGCTGGAGCGAACACGCCTTTTGGGGACCATGGCGATAATGTATCCGGATCGTTGTCAGATGATGGCGAGACCGAGGTCAGGATAACGAAGAGAGATCGCCGTGCAAGTCGCAGCAGCAACAGCGACAGTAGGAGCGACAGCAGTATCGGTATCGAGGACGAGGACAGTGACGAAGGCCTCAATGAGGACGAGAGTAGCGGGGACGAGAAGTAGAACGCCGACACATGTTGTATCCAAGGTAGAAAGAACGCTGCGGTAGGGCTTTGGATGAAGCTGATCAAGAGGCCTCAGAGTACACCGCATCATCGCCCATGTGCATCAGTTGTATTCTCGACAGATACATCGGCTCTATAATTGAATAACCGAGTCGGTCAGCAGGTCGGACGGCGCGTGGAGACCCACCCCGCACTGTGTCTGAACCTGTACCTTTGAGGGGCAGCAGGTACCACGCATCTATCTTATCACCTGGGCCTTCCCCTCTACCCCAACTCCATCCCGTGACGTTCGTCATCCAGGCCCAGGGTCGTCAAACAACGCGCAGACTACGCAACAACACCCTGCCTCGATCAGCTCTTCGC